CCAGCTCTAATATTAATCACATGACCTTGAGCAAGTTAGGAAACTTCCTGCACCCGGTTTCCTAATCTGTAAAGTGGGACTGTTAATAATTACATCACAGGACTATGCAAGACTTACATGAAATAAAAAGTGCTCAGCAAATAGGTGCTCAATAAATTTATTCTCTCAATGTAAAACTCACACACACACTCATTAACAACTCTCTTTAACTACTAATTATTAGGAAGTGGCAAGTTACAGCAAGACCACAGCAAAAAACTGCTGTCTAGGTCTCAGCTCTGCCAGTAACCACTCGCGTAGCTCTGGGCAAGTCATTTAACCTCCCTGAGCCTCATTTTCCTCATGATTAACCAGAAAGAAGGGACTGAACTAGATGACCTCTAAAATCCTACAACTGAAATTTGAATCTAGTCTGTTTCTAAATTCACATTGTTTGGATCACCGATCCAAAACTAGGGACTTCTGCTTTAAATTGTATGTACCTTTCTCTGAATTTTAAAGATAGACATATGGCTAGTCTTCTATTAATATTCATTTTTCATTGAAACAAAGTAAGTGATAATAAAATTATAAAAACATCTGAATTTACCATAAATTTACTAGTACACTAAATCACAAACCTAATTTCGATGTCTCTGAAAAGCTAAATGTGGACTAATGATAACAGCCCTTTAGAATCTATTTCATAGTGACTCATCAAGTTAAATCAGTCCACACATGTGTATATAAACAATACACACCTGAGAGTTACGTAGTAGAAACAACACAAGTAGGAAAACCAATCACAAAGGAGTAATAAAAACACTATGCATACAAGCAAGTTAAAAATGGCGAGAACAAAATTCCCACTAGCGCAGCACTTTGTTATTAACAAGCTAGTCAAACCTGAACTAAAGACAAAACCACTTTGGCAGGATTTGAACATAGTTCCAAAGTATAATTAGAGGGCGGGATGTAAATGTAAATTTGATTCTCCTGAGAGAGGCTGTGTTTTCAGGAAGGCTGACAAGTCCTAACTTCAGCAGACTCAGTCTAGCTGCATGTTAAGGAGGCACTAACATAGCCAGGTCTCAGTAAAACGATTTCACTCCAGGCAGGGTGCTGGTTAGGTCCCCACTCTTACCCACTGGCAGACACTGGGAGTACACTCGGCAAGGATGTGGCTCACTGGGAATGCTTAGGAACGACCTTATAGGATAGACTCACACCACAGCCCAACATTAAGCCTTAGACCACATCACCAGGGAAGGGTATGGGAAAGTGCAGGGTGGTGGCACCAACCTCAAAAGGTAAGAGGCATGCTGCAAAACACACATTTGTCCTGGTAGATAAAAGTCCATGAACGTTCCAAAACATTTTAAAGCTACAGTACTTATGATTTTTAGCTTATATTAAGTGCTCCTTGGGGATAATAAGTTTCATTAATTTAGTACTTGTGTGAAGCACTGTCCTGTTTAGACACAATAAACTTGCCACTTCCAAACTTTACCGGGCAACCTTCCAGTTCTAGAGTATCCAAGATTCGGTGCCCAAATCAGCCTGTGCTGCCTTTACTCTTCATGATTTTACAAGTTGATCATAAACTGCCTCTAAGCTCTCATCCTTCTAGATAACAGCATCCATCAGACAGGCCAAACTGATAAGAATAGCCTATTACAACCTACGATTATTTTAATTATTCTTCCCTGGACCTTATCCAAACCCCCTACAGCTTCCTTAGGATAGAACAAAGACCACAGCGCTACATAATTCTGTGACCTCAAATAGCCAAAATGATCTTGAAAACGACAAAACAAAACAAAGTTGGAAGACTCACACTTCCCAATTACAAAACTTACTACTGGCATAAATATAGCCATATAAATCAATGGAATAGAAATTAGAGTCCAGAAACAAACCTATACATCTGTGATCAACTTATTTGTGACAAGAATGTCTAGAACCTTCAGGGAGAATGACTAGTCTCCAATAAATGGTGCCAGGCAACTGGATATCCACATGCAAAAGAATGAAATTGAAACTTTACTTCCCATCATGTACAAAAATTAACTCGAAATGGATCAAAGACCTAACTATAAGAGCTCAAACTCATATTCCAAAACTTCTAAAACTTTAAAAAAGAAAATGGGCAAATCTTCAGGACCTTGGGTTTGGCAATGGTCCCTTATAGATATCACACCAAAAGCACAAAAGTAGATGAATTGGCCTTCATCAAAATTAAAACCTACAGAATGAGAGAAAACAGTTGCAAATCATTTATCTAATAATAGTCTAGTTTAGAGGATATATAAAGAACTCTTACAACTCAACAACAAAAAAAAACAATTAAAAAATGGGCAAAGGACC